GCACCTGAAAAATGGCTGAAAATGTAATTGATAACCGAAAAATTTATAGTAACTGTTGGCTAGGATTGATAAATTTCTTCTCTATGTCCTGTAGATATTACTAACCAGGATCCTATTATAACGGCCTCCTGCACTAACCAAATCCAGTTGTGGAGGTGGGGGGGGGGGAGGGTATTCTGGAGTCAAAGTGACAAAGATAATCAAAAGAGGTCAAAACCAAAATCCAAGAGAAAAGTCGTGTTTGTGTATTAAATACCTCAGGATTCCAAGGAAAGCCAAAAAATCCCTGCACCAAACTTTAATGCTCTAAAAACCCCCTCATCATACTCTATACCCAAAATGCTTTTAATACTCAACTAACCACAAAAAAAGTTTGATTGTACTTTATCAGGCAGTATACTCAGATTTTTTTAATACTCAACAAAATCTCTGCTAAAATCAAGGCACCCCCCAAAAAATATTTTCCAAGTATTCCTACCCAATAGAATCCTAGATTGGAAAATATTAAACCCCCCAAACTTCTTCGATCATCCCTGCCACTAATATATTTATATATTTTATATATATTTATTGATTTGAATTGTGCAAATATCAGTCCACCCCTTACCTCAGTATATACCATATTTGGCAGAAAAGATATCCCCTTTGTATACCTTCCATTAATAAATAGTACCCTTTTCACATACTTAGTTAAGAGCCTTGAATCCCTTTTAACCGCTGTAAATGCACTATGAAATATGAAAAAAAAATCACAAAACCAGGACATGTCGACTTTTTCACAGCCATAAATACTTTTATTAGCCCTTTGAGATTTTTTTACAGATGGAAACACAGGCTTTCCTGCCCTTTCATATTCTTCAAGTAGTGAAATCCCTATACCCTTTCATCTACCTGAAGCCTGAAAAAGATACAGCAGAAAGAAGCAAGGCTGATTATACAGTCAGGAATATATCATATGTTCAATATACCACTATTTCGAAAGGAACAGCCTTCTCTTCTTCGGGGTCTTACATATATTTTAATTTATGGCTGACTAGATCCTCTATTAGGATCTGGTCTTTCTATTTGTAACGTTGGTCCTTGCTTCCAAAACCGAATCTGAAAAAGGTTACCATTTTGGGCGGACCCTCCCCATATAGGCTGTTACAGGGTGTCCCCCCTCTTCCTCAAGGATTGAAATAAGCAGTTGACAACAGAACCTCCGAATGATAAAATTTGTTTCTTATTTTACGTCTTACCTATTGTATGTATTTCTTTTTCTATGCAATGAGGGCAACTACTTTGGGATGACTGGTGCAATGGCAGCCACCTTGACTGTCAAAATCCACGTGATGTTGATCAGCAATTGAATTGCAAAAATTAAACACTCGTTTTCATTCATTTAATGAGGCCCTGTTAGGGGTAAATTCCGACAAGCGACATGGCCTTGAACCAGCGACATGAGAGCCACGAACTGGCGACGACCGACAGACTATTGCAACGAATTAGCGAAAGCGACACCAATGTCAAGACAGACCGACAGCGAATTTGAGAATTGACAGAATTGTGAATGTCCTGCAAAACATTTGCGCGTACACTATTCGGTAGTAATTACTTAATAATGATCAATAATGGCTAATAAGGGTCCAATAAAGGCAAACAGAAATACGTCTCATTTTACTGCTATTTTGATTGTTCATTTCATTTGATTGACGTGTTCAGTGCATCACTCCCTTTGAGGACTTTGCCGCTTTGCTTATCATGTTCTCCTCCTTACATGACCCACGTGCGCGCTCCATCAACCTGTTAGAGAGATTTTTTTTCTTTATCGATCGCGTTCATTTCGGTGTCCCAGATGGTAAGCGAGTTATTGAAATACATCACTATCAGAGTCATCAGCGAGTCGTCGGAGTGTCGTTGACGGCATCAACGGCATGGGAAAACACAAAAAACACAAAAAGGGAAAGAAAAAGCGAGAAAGCGATTATGTTCATTGAGAGATTTTCTGAAAGACGTCAACCCAGGGTTCAACAGCTTTCTCAAACTGGTCGCCAATTTGAGAGAACTTTTGGAGAACTTTTTCTGCCAAATGCGCTCCAGAAATGACATGCCAACTGCCTTGGAGTTTGCATATCTATTTGCGCCCACCATTCGCGAGTCATTGAAACAACTCACTGACACTGGCTTTGTCTACTACACTTCCCCACACTCTTATTGTGAAGTACCACATGAGATGAAACTCCCGTTTCGAGACCTGCCTTCTTTGTCTGTTCCATCGTCAGTAGAAATGGCAAAAGATGGCCAGAGGCTGATGAGAGACTGGAGGGACAGCTTTGGTAAACCGGTCCGTCAACTGACCGTTCGAAATCAAAGTACCAAGGACAATGTAGGTACACTTCCATTGTTCGCATACACAACACCAGATCAGCCTCCAAGACCATTAGATTTTTTCACCACAGACGACCTCACAGCTAGAGAAACAGTGGTCACAGCGATTGAGCGGGAAGCTGTCAGAGGAGCCATTTTATTTGAGGCCAACAGTGTTGTGGTCGTCAAGCACGACCACATACGTGGATACCCGAACAGGAGACCCTTCTTTGTTGGAATTGTCGTAGCTGATGTCACCGACAAGGCAGAGAATTATTTTTGTGATATTGAGTTGTTTGTTTCTGCATTTGAAGACTGTCTGCTATTTACTTTGAATGAAAGCGCACGAATCCACCGAGATGCTATCGTCAGTAAAGTGGGGGAAGAGCATTTTGAAAAAGGGTGCGATTTTGTGAAATTGACGGAGGTATCATACGAGACATTTCTTCGATACCAAAATGACGTGGAAGACCTTTTGCCAGACAAAGAAGGCGGTGAAGAGGACAGCGACCTCGACTCTGATGATGATGAGAACCCAGCAGACGTCGTCTTTGGAGGAATGCCACTTCGCACAACATCCGGAAGAACTGTAGTCTGCTACACAGCCGTTTTGGGGAGGAGCGTTGCGTGACGACACTAAAAACGGTTGTGTAGCAGACTAGGAGAACTGTCATCCGCCCAAATCGTGGGTGTATGTAAATGGCGGAACCGCCCGGAACCCCCGGAACCGCCCGGAACCCCCCGGAACCCCCCAGAACCTACCCGGAACCTTGAAAAAAGCGCAAATGATAAAATTAAAAAAAACAACAAATAACAAAAAATAATACAAATCAAATAAAAATAATGAAAATGAAATAAATATACTAAATATAGGTAGCTTCCACCTTAAAGTGCTACTACGATCAAATTTGGGAATTTGTTTTTGATTACATATTTCGAAAATGTATGTAAAAGTGACTTACCGTGCCAAGTTTGGAGTCCAAATATGATCTGGAAGTGTGTTTATTTGCACGGCAATTTTCGTAAATGTCTTGCCGCCATTACTCGATTCAAAAAATGACCGGGAGTAGTATTTGAAGGAGTTGGGGCGAGATGTGACGTAGAAACATCAACGCGGTAAAACAAGGCAAACAAACATGGCTAATTTCGCATGCAGGACGAGATAATTTTGGAAGCTTTTGGAGGTTCTTTCTTCGCTTTTTTGACTTAAAGCGAAAGTATGCCTGGTAGACGTTGTGTTGTTCAGGACTGTGGAAACGTAAAGAACGATGAATTGGGGATTTCTATTCATAATTCTCCTGATTCGGGCAGCGTTAGATTAAAGTGGAAAAGGTTCGTGTCCATTCATCGGAAGGATTTCAACCCAGTGGGAAGATTTGCTGTGTGATCGGAGCATTTTACAAGGGATTGTTTTACGCTTGCTTTTCCGATGAAAGACATGAAAAGGAATTTGAAGAAGGGGACGTTTCCAACCATTTGGAAAAAATCCTCTCAAACACTATCAAAGCGGAGTCGACGATCGGTGAGTGAAATTACAATGTATTTGCTTTGTGCTTATCACCATTATATTTATTTCCCCTTTTACCTGTGACATGATTTTTTCTGGCATCGTTGTTCAATATTCGTGTAATGAATGCTCTCACTATTTGGACTTTCCATATTGTTGCATTTGTTTTCATACTTTTCTGCTTTCTTCTCATAGTTATAGTAAAACCTGCATTTGCGCTGAGTGGACGTGAAGTCAATTCCCCAATTCCCAGACCTTTCCACTCAAGCGTAAAATTTAGAAAAAGTGAAGCTACATAGAAATCCGGCTCTCTATTTTTTGAGAGATTAGCTTGCTGTTACTTTGAGATTTGACAGTACTCCAAACTTCCCTCCAAGAAATATTACAGCAAATTAAGAGTTACACGCGAGTCTTTTAAAACGACCAAAAATGGACTGTTTGTATTTTAATTCTATTTTCACTGTCTGCAAATGATGCATACATTTTAAGGCAAAGATGTGGTTAAACCTTGCTTCCATTTCTGGTTTTGAAAACATCGACATAAAGCTCAAATTTAAACTTGTTTTGAAGGGGAGATATAAAAAATGGTCGTACCTATTTTCATTTTTAGCTACTAAATGAAATTCTGGCTGGTCAAACTACTAATGAGGATACAGAGGAAGAAGACAATCCTGAAGAAGAGGTGATCTCTTGAAAGGAAGTTCTGCACCTGAGGAGAGTGCTGACACTATGGGGGCTCCCAATCTCAACCCTGAGGAGTCTCCAGAAGTCGAGGGTGTTCTGAATACAAGTCAGGGTTCTTTGCTTGAGGTAAATCCTGAAAAGGAGGGCTGCATCCCTGAGACTGAGACGGCTGAGATAAGTGTTGATGCTGAGATGGCTTCAGAGGTCCTAGGTACTCCTGGTGATAAGACAGCTCTCGAGAGCCAAGGGATTTCAGGCACTGATGAGGTTACTGAGACCATGCAGATCCTGGAGGCTCAGGGAATCGAAAAAGTGCAGGATATGGATGAAGTTATGCAGATTGATGAATCATTAACGATTCCTGAACTTGAACAGGTTTCTATGGTAGGCGCATAACTCTAATTAATGTTTATTTGCATCTTTGTATTATCATAACAATGGAAAACTGCATGTGCAGTTATTTTACAATAATACTAAAAACACAAAAATTCTAAAGTCTTGTTATTACAGCCTGTATTAATGTTGAAAGTTTATTTTTTGTAGGATACTCCAACTGGACATGCTGGGAATTGCGCAACATGCAAAACCGTGAGGAGTGAGGTGACTCAGTTAAGGGGCAAAGTCACAAGACTGAAGAGTAAGTTAATCTCCAATCAAGATCAGTGGGTTGAAACCTTTAAGAGCATACAAGAGCCGAAGCAGTTGCTGATGGTGAATGCTGGTGAGTCAACAATAATTGATGTTGATGAGTCATATAGGCATAACTGCCTATCTTTATATTTTTATTATGTTTTATCAATATTTGATTATTTCATAATAATTAAAATTTTAATGGTGACAGAATTTTTTTAATTCCATTTGTTTAAGCTATTCAAACTGATCCATGGCCAGTAACAAATGAGACAGAGTTAGGGCTAGAGGATGAATTGCATTTTAACGTCTTAGCTCTAAGTATCCTCTGGGAAGTGATTTAGGCCTAAAACTAACTTCCATTATGAGAGGTTCTATTTAGAAACAAGAGTACATGAAATTTGTTTTTTACTTTACTCAGATAAGAATTGCAAAAAAAAAAAAAGAAGAAGAGGCATAACCAGTCCATAGACTGGAAGTCCCAGGCCTAAAAATGTTTGGTTTGTCCACTCAACCACTTGTAATAAATTATGCATCGTTGGGGTGGGCTAGATAGCTTAAGGGCTCAAAGTTGTCATGTGTGCAATCAACAGAATTATTATAAAAAAGCATTTTTCAGGATGTATGTGAGAATAAAATCCCAACCCACAATTAGCCAGGTTTACAACAAGTTGAAAAACTGGCAACACCCTGAGAAAAAAAATAAAAATGATAATCATTTTTTTGATTATTATTTTATTATTTCAGATGCTATGATTAAATGAGTATTTCCTTTCAATCATTTTTTACAGGTTGGATCTACAAGGAAAAAACATTCGAGAGGAACCGAAGGGAATTGTTTTCCTTTCCAAACTTCTTCTTTTGTTTCAGTTCTGCCACTTGTGCTTCTTTTCAAAACCCAAACTTTCTGTACCTTGTTAACCATAGAAAGTTTCTGCAGAAACTGTAGCCAGACAAAAGTCTGGAAGAGTCAACCAGACCTGCTAGGAAAGTTTCCAGCAGGTAACCTGCTATTAAGTTTTGCAGTGCTCTGTGAGCCGAGAGAAAAGAAAGAAATGATACATTAAAACTGTAATTAAATTCAGGCTGAATTCGATTTAATTTTTATTACTTGTGTACATGAAAATTGGAGCAACATCAGAATTCCCAGCCACTAAACTTAAGTTTAACTGAACGCTAGAAGAACAGGGCTTCACACAGTGGGCAAGTTTGTCATTCAACAAAAAGCGAGTAAGTGGCTGAGAATTCTGAAGTTTGGCCCATAAAATTAAGTGCTTATGGACAAGTATTCAAGCAACTACTATAGGTCCTTCTTGGCCCCAATGGCATACATGACACTCTTCAAGAACAAACAGTGCATTTATTATTCATTTTCTTCATCTTCGAATCCACGATAATGGCCATTTTGACTCGGAAATTGTTTCCTGATTTTATTGTAGGTACAGCAGGGTGAGGGGTATCGCCTAGAACTACCAATATAACTCCACAGCAGTCTTGTAAATTGGCGATAGGCCACAGACCTCAGGAATCTAGTTAGAGAAATGAGATCACTGTTAATTCAAGGAGGGATTGGATGGAGATAAATAAATACTCCTTTTAAAAATAAGCAGTCGGGGCAATAAAGCCATTTAGAAAATAAAAAATGTGATTCTATGAGATCAGTCCACGGCGATAAGCTTAGATGTATCAATTATTCAATGCTATGTAAGGTTCGATCGTTCCAATACAAAGTCAACAATACCCCAACTTACTCATCATCACTTTTGTTGCTTTGCCCACGAACAGTTGTGTACGACTTTCCAGCTCGCGTTTTTAGGCCCAGTGCAGCCACTTCTAATACGTGGCGGTTTAAACAGACGCGTTCAAACCCTGGATGGAGGATTATGCATACGGTCCGGTCTCCAATGGCTTCTTCCATGACCTCTTCGCAGCGATCGATCTCTTTGCAGCAAATGCACTCCTGCGCTTTTGTAACAAGGCTGACAGAGCAGTTCGAGCACGAACACCTGCAAAATAATGTGAAAAATTCGTCAAACACAAGAAAAATACGTCTGTATAAAATTATTAATTGTCTGACCTCTTCAATAACACTATCGCATAAAATCAGGACTACAGCTAATCACATAGCAACGAACTTTTAACTTTTAAAAACAAAACACACAGTCGCGTTCGTCACGCACACGATTTAACGACGGGTATGTTGAAATTGGAAAATAAAAATATAAATCTACATTCCATGATAATACCATACCATTCATTCGCTGGCACCTCTCCCGAATATCTTCGTTGAAACTGTTGTTCCTCTTCTTCTTCGCGATGAACTCTTTCGTTGTAGTCCGCGGCTTCTTCCTCGGTGGCAAGGGGTTTGCAACTGTCGTTGTACGGCGCAATTCAGACAATTCCCCAATCACTTCGTCAACTGTAAAACTTTCTAGATCACTTTCAGATGTGCAGGAAGAGGAATCCGACGGAGATGACATCTTAAACGTCTCGTTAAAAGGCTCTAAACTCACAAACTTTTCCCAAATGCGAATCTTTTAGTTGATGTTTCTACGTCACAGTGCATAAATCACGTGGTTAAACGCACGACCGCTTTGCGGAGATCTCGCGGGCTATTGCTTTGCGAACTTTGTAATGGCGGACGGTATTTACGCACTTTTCAGTGAGAAATTTCCAGCCCCCGTACGCAAGTATCGTTCCAATTGTTCGCTATTTGTATAAATTTGAACATATACAAAAGATTTATGTTAAAAAAACTTGGAAACAAAAACAAAAATTTTCGTCGTAGTAGCACTTTAAAAATAGTCTGAAAGCTACAATTTTTATTATTTTATTTCGTTTTAATTATTTTATGATTTGATTTGTATTATTTTTATTGTTTATTTGGTTCCCGTCCTCTTGTTAAATTAGCCTAATACTTGAACAGGTCGGCACGTGACTAACGGAATGCCAAAGACCAAAGTACAAAGTATTGTTTTACGACTCGAAACCACGTGCGCTGTGGAAGTCAGCGAGAGAGCGTGGACAGTTTTTTCAAGTACGACCATGAATGAAGGGAAAGCCGAGACGATCACCATAGAAGATGAATCACAGTCTGAAGATGACAATAGTAAAGAGCTATATCAGCCGGTTTTTATAAGAACCGAGGAAACGTGTCCTTTTGCCAGGTAACATTTCCTTCGTACAAACAGAAATTTGACTGTTTACTGAGTTGCGTAAGCAAAAGCTGATATCTGCCCACAAATTTACGCGGTTTTGTTTTATTTCAACAGTGCTGTAAAAACTGAGGGGAACGGTCATAACGAAGTAATCGAAATCCTTTCCTCGCCGGAAAGAAGTCCGGAAAAGAAAAGGTAAGCGCAGGTTCACTGCTAAACCACGGGTTGTTTCTTTAATAGAGCCCGCTATGCCTCCACGAAAAGTGAAAAAAAAAAAATTGTAGCTTTCAGACTATTTTTAAGGTGGAAGCTACCTATATTTAGTATATTTATTTCATTTTCATTATTTTTATTTGATTTGTATTATTTTTTGTTATTTGTTTTTTTTTTTAATTTTATCATTTGCGCTTTTTTCAAGGTTCCGGGTAGGTTCCGGGGGGTTCCGGGGGGTTCCGGTTGGTTCCGGGCGGTTCCGGGGGTTCCGGGCGGTTCCGGGCAGGTTCGGCCATTTACATACACCCCCAAATCGTCTGGACCTTTAGTTCATTTTTCACAGACTTCTTGTAAACGCATGTCTTACAGATAATGAATGGTTGATAATGTCCTTCCTCCTGGGTTGTTATAGTTACGGAAAAGCACACTCTGACAACTAAATCAGAGTTTAACTCGGAAGAATATTAGACTCTTGCACTAAAAGATTTTTAGAAACGTTATGATAGCTCGAGTGTTTTGCCAGATTAGGCCTCGATTTACGCCAAGCCATTTTAAAAACATCTCTACACTTGTAGAGACTTGTATAGGGACTTGTATAGTTTACTAAATGGAATTTTATTGACTGCAATTACTATTCCAAGTAGTCTGAACGAATATCAAACATTTATAAAAAGTCTTAAAACCCTGGGCTTAAAAGTACTAAAGATAGAGGCCGTATGTTCCGTTGGCGTCGTTGCAGCGAATGCGGATTGTCAGACTGGCAACGAGCTAAAAAATTAATGTGTTTATGTTCGGAATTTGCATTTATGGCCGCAGTTTGATCCTCTAGGGATTTTACGTCACATCTCGGTATTTAAGCCTTGTCGCCTCTCGTGTTAGTCACTCGACACAGCCAGTTTTACCGCTCGCACCTTGCCGAGCTTAATTTTTCTAGTATGCTGTTTACGTTTAGTCTCGTAGTTTACAGTGATGTAATTCGTTTTTCTCCGCCACTACTTTATTTCATGTACGTTTCTCGTCCCCAATAAACACAACTGGTCGTGTCCTTCCTATTTCTACGTGTTGTTGCCTTTCTGCTGATTAGAACTTAAACGTTTTCTCTGCGGCGGAACGCAGTGACATAGCAGAGAATTATTGAAATTCCGACAGGCGACACGAGAATGTTCCGAAATGGCGACATAGCTGGCTGTGAAATTCAGACGGGGGACACGGGCACCCCCCCTAACAGGGCCTCTTTAATACCTTTATAAATGGTAAATAGTTTTTGAAGTCTTGGTTGAACAAGCCATTCGCTTACAAACGCTGAGTCTGTGCCTTTAAATCCCCTCATCTCACTATGGGAAAGATCGATTTTATCTATGGAACCACCAGTCACAGCCTAGCCAAGCCTAGCCTGCGTGGCAGGCCATCCAAAGGAAAGGGGATCAGAAGGTACGCCATACCGCGCGCGAGGTAGTGTGCGTAGCAGGCGTCGAAAGGGGTAGGATGTAGGGAGAAAGGTTAAAAGAGGTAACTGAGTCACATGATAAGAATTCAGAGTAACAAGGTAAGAAGGTAACGGAGTAACAAGGGAACAGAGTAACAAGGTAACAGAGTAAAAATTCGGGAACAGAGTAACAAGGTAACAGAGTAACAAGGTAACAGAGTAAAAAGGGAACAGAGTAACAAGGTAACAGAGTGACAAGGGAAAGGTAACGAGGTAGTAACAATTATACAAAGCGAAAAAAGTGAAAATGTAACTTAAACACCCGGGGGGGGGGGGTACTCGCAGAAAAATTGGGTAGGGGTGTGCGGCCCGCTTCCCAAAACCCTTACCCTATTTATGACCAAAATCTGCGATTTTCCCTACCCTATTTATGACCAAACCAAAAATTTGATACCCTATTTATGACCAGACCCTTAAATCAATACCCTGTTTCAGACCTGCCTTATAATTATTTCCCTAGTTCAGACCAATGTTAAAGGCAATGTTTATCTGCTTTTATTAGGTTAGGGGGACATGATAAGGAAGTAGCTTCTTCTAAAAAAGTGCATTCAAGACTACAGTGTAAAAATCGTTACCCTATTTATGACCAAAATGGCGGCAAAATAGCCAAAATCGATACCCAATTTATGACCAAAACGGCTGAAAAACCCTACCCTTTGGGGCCGCACATACCTATATAGCCCATATTAGGGAGTACCCCGGGCTTAAACAGGTAAAGTCGAGACAATATATGTACCCATACACGAAATATCCACCACAAGTGAGCCAATCGGGTAGGTACTTCATATATAATTCCTATAGTGAACAAGTCTCTAATGAATTAACTACCACCAATCGGCAGTTGCCAGCTGACCACAAAGCCAGGAGACTCTAGGTTTTACTTGTGAGAATCAGCGTGATTTCGGACAAATGAACGTCCTTGCCAACAACTGTGTTTCCAAAATTAGTGTGCCAAAAGGTGCGCACTCTGGAAACGGAGTTGCCTACAACCCAGTATTGGGTTTGTTTGTGACTATGGACTTATGCAATGGAATATCTGTTTGGGATCCTATGAAAGGAAAAGTAATGGCCAAACACAATCTGGGGCAAGACGGACAGTTGGACATGTTAATATTGCCTGGCAATCGTATTGCAGTAAGCTACTCCGAAGGAAATCACGGAGGATTTCTTGATATATATTCTCTTGAAAAAGGCAAAAAGACTTTTAAAGCACCTGAACTTAGTTTGAAATACTCAGATTTCAGAGATTTATCTCCATCCGGTTGGACATTGGATTCCGGTGCGCTCTCCTTCTCTCCACAAGGGAATCTTCTTGTGGCGGGTTCGACGGTGGGAAATGGTGATTTAATGGAACTGTGCATGGACTGGGAAAACTTAAAAGCCCTTGGAACGCGTGACTTTTTTCTTTCTGACCATGAAGATCGTTATTATAAAATTGAAATGCTATGCTGTTCTGTTGATTCTGTGATTCTGACAAGGGAGTTCGATTCTAAAAAAGGAGAATTAAATGGCATTAAATGTAGAAAACTGTGTTTTGAAGACTTAAACGAAGGAAACAAAGAGGAAGATAAGAAAGAAGAAGGAATTGAAGCTCAAGAACAAGCATTTATCAGCTATTATATGCTTGATGGAGAAGAGAACCAGATCGATAATTTGAGAGGATTCATTCATGATGGGCAAAACCTGATTATTGCAAATGGAGATAAAATTGTGTTGTTGGAGTCATTAACAGAAGGCAGCAATGCACATCTCATTGTATCAGGTTTAAAACCTGCTGAAGAAGATTCACCAGATGACATTGGGCTAAATTTGAATCATAAAGGACAGTTAATGGTGTGTGATGATAAAGCATTTATAAAGGTTTTCGAATATAAGTGCTGTCCAAGGTCTCTACAAGATATCTGCAGATGTATCATTGTGGATACAATTCATACTGGTTACAGTGATAAAGTTAAAAAATTGACAATTCCATCCACTCTGAAAGATTACCTGCTGTACAAGTAATTATACAATAGGCTGAGTCTGCGTACATGAGTTTCACAGTACATGTAATGTTGGAAACACAGATGACAGTTTTCTCATATTCATATGATGACAAAGAATCTATAAGGGTGTTTGAATAATTTGATAAGTAGTGTAGTTGAATGCAAAGTTGAAGATGCTATAAATATTATGGGATATATGTTGTAGTTAATTTTTTATCTCAGGTGATTTTATGTTGCCTTTGTTTCAACTTCATTAGTATACATTACCACACCCAAAAACAAAAGAAAAACAAAAATTACATGAGATAAAAAAATTAACTAGAACACGTACATAAAAGTACAATTTTATGGAAAATGGAAAAGCCAGCCGCAGGGCTATACTGCTACCTGTTTAAGCTGGTATAATTACTGGAAAGTCGGAGAATTTTTGGATTTATAGATTGTTGCCTTATTAGCCACCCAGTGGATCTGTTAATAAATCATTATTAATATTATTATTATTGGACGTAATTTCAGCCATCTCTTTGAGTCGCCATGGTTCGTACAATCTTGAAAAGGTCTTGAATATTTTATTTCAGATTCTTTGTTTCAAACATTATTTTAGATACCTCAGATGCAGTATAAAATAATGTGAGAAACAATGGCCGAAGAAGTAAAAACAGGGTTCTCAATAGATTTTTAAGTAGGAGGTGATCACTGATAAAGTAGGAGGCTCTTCAGCAAAGCGAGACGTGTCAAAACAAAGCAAAGAAAAACGACTTAAACACAAAGTAAGCGGCTATAAATCCCAAAGTAAGCAGCGATCAATTGCCAGGTGCCGCCTTCTATTGAGAACCCTGTAAAAATCGTAAATGACTCCATGACATATTTCAGCCAATAGGGTGATCAAAGGGGTTTAAAGAATGCCGATTTTTAAATAAATCTTAGTCCTCGAAAACTGTAATTTGTCACTGAAACATCCTTGGAAAGTCCTTGAAATTTGTTTGTCTGAAGTTGTTCGAACCATGGTCGCAAACTCCTGAGCACTTGACATTAATGCTGTCTATGGCTAAAAATATCACAGCATATATTAGTTAATTGTGTAATATTAAGTGCAGGGCAGCACTTGGCACATGCCTCCCTGACATGATGCACACCTGGTTGTCTTATCTAGATTCACCTAAGTAATAATCACCTCTAACTTTGTTTCTTGGACTTTGAAAGCCTTTAACCATATTGGTTGGCCTGAACACATCATGCTGATTAGAAACTGTTGGAGTTGGGCATAAGACGATGTCTTATACCATGGATATTATATCAGGAAGCCTTACAACCTGCTAAAATCGCTAGACTTGAGGACAGGTGCAATGAACTCTCTATGAGAACTTTTGATAAAATTACAAAAGGCGGGCCCTCGTCAAAAAATCTAACCCCGATAACTATCGCCCACAACTATTCTCTTTGAAATTCTAACTCTTGAATGTCTGAGAGTTTTAAGGGAAGCTTTTTCCCTACTACTAGCTTAAGGCAAACTTAACGTCTTTAAAAAATTAGATGTGGCTCTTAGTTTACGATTTGTTTTAAGGTTAGTGTAATTTTTTTTATTACAAACTAGAAAAAATTGAACCTTATGCTTGTAATTTTACTAAGTTTGACTGTTTTTAATAATTGTAAACTCCAGTGCCTATAAGGTTAGGTGTAGAAGTGATGAACAGTAAACAACAACTCTCTGGTATCGAGAAGCTAGTAAGTTTAAAAATTAAAATCAAAATAATTATTGATTTTAGAAATGTCCCATATTGGAGCAAAAAGCTGTCCAGTAAAGTAAGAATGGCAAGGGTCTGGGACTGGCACCAGCCGTTCACACACATATCGACATCGCACCCGAACTAATGGGTCTGGTGCACCTTGTGCACTTACCCGGCCCAATCCTCACTCCTAGATATTTACTTTTGTCTCAGTTGGTTCAGGCCCTCGTTCTTATTTTGTTAACTTTTGTTGCAGTCTGAATATCTGCCAGCTAAAATCGTGCTAACACTTATAGAGAAATACTGACACCAGGTAACAATATTTATGTTTCACTGATCACTTTTTCTCTTTTCATTTAATTTATTTGAAGTAAGTTTTGTTTCCCATACAAACTTCTTTTCTCCTATGCAAACTCTCATCTTATGCTTGGGCTACCTGTGGCTCTAGTAGCCTGCAATTAGGAAGCTACAGACCTTTCCCGCATTCCGCTCCAGTGAGCAAGCATAGAGAAATGAGGGCAAGGCTCGGTTGGACAATTTCATACAAATCACTGTATTTCGTCCACCAGAGCTTCGACTTGATGCCTTTGTTTACAGGAATACGGGAAAGGTATATTAATAGTCGCACCCGAGCTCCCCAGCTTCACCGTTCCTATGGCTCCTTCCACCGCTTTTTAAAATGTAATAAACATTAGGGAGCGAACATTAACTATTGGGGGGAGGGCCGGTATTATTTCACAAGCGAAGGCCCAAAAATTTTAGCCCCTAAAAATGTGTGCCCACAAAATTGTAACCCTCCCCTGTAATAACATTGTGAGTATTGGAATGTTGCATCGCGAGAATGCATATGAGCGAAACTTTGAGACAATTATTTCATTGGAATAGAAAATGGTGTTAGTCTTTACAATTATACTTACAAAAACCCAATGCTTTACCACGTAAAGAAAACCATTGACAACCTCACTGTCACTTATTGAATTCCCGTCCTCTACTCAACTTGAAGAGTGAATAAACTGCACAAGCAAAATTAAATAACTTATCAGCGAATAGAAAGAGGAAAATTGTCTCTATTCAAGGAAAGTCCGCAGCTCTTGCTCTACCCCTTCAGGTCCTGCAAGTTCGGCCACGATGGAGACGGTGAAAAAAATTAGAGAGCAAGTAGAGCAACTGAAAACCGTAAAAGGATCCTTCCAAGGCTGGATTTCGTCTTAGAGACGACCACACTTAAGCCACACGATTCCACAACGATAGAGCAAAACATTTTAGACATAAGGAAGGTAACTTTAACTTTTTGAAACTTTAAAAAACAAACTAAAGAAAAACTTAAAAAAAACAATTCCCTCATCTGGGAGAGTTTTAACTGGGCATAAAACTGCGCAAAAGCAAAAGCTGTCCCGAATTGCAGGCCTGTAGGAGTGAATTACACTCTTTAATCATTAGTCAGCTCCAAAAAACCTGAAAAGCAGCATTTAAGCATTCCTTTTCTGCAATGAAAAGAAAATCAAGAAAAAGGAAGCAGAATACCCTAAAGAGTGCGAAGCAGAAAAAGGCGCGAGAGGCATGTGGCCAGAACAATTGACATCCTCAAGAAGGTTGCACCAGACTTTGCCTGAGGGAAAGAGTTGTGAGAAGGAGGATTTGAGTAGAGACATCGTCAAGAAACTTGGAAACAGAAATGGGCGGTAGCTTTGACATCTGAACAGTGTAAATTTTTAAATGACAGCGCGAAATCAGAACTAAGCCCAGTGTTGGGTTTTTCTGGAAATGAGAGCAGCAGTGATATAAGTGATTATCATGAAAGTAGCTGACGAAGACGATAGAAGTAGCACCAATGACAACAAAGACAGTGAAAGAAATAGTGATGGCGGGGTATGGGGGGAAAGGGGGAAGAGAGAAGCGAAAAAGGGAGATCGCGAAAAGAGAGAACCCTAACCTAACCCAAACCCTAACCCTTCCCTTTTTTTCGCTTCTCTCCCTCCCCCCTTCGCCATCTAAAATCTCCTCTCCCCTAACTCCTTAGGAAGGCCTGATACTCAGGCTAAGGCAAACCACGCCCATCGAACAGATAAAAGATGGCGGCCGACTGAGACCACTTCCATCTGCAGTGATGCTTTCCATATTTAACGGTCATCGTTGTGATTATGTCTTCCATTGGCTGCATTGGTATGTTTGCTCGTCGTTTACAAAGTTTGTGCTTCTACAGTCTGCGTTTACCCGTAAGAATCAAGCGTAATTTCGGAAAAAGAAAAGTCCTTGCCAATAACTCTGTTTCCAAAGTCAAGGAGCCAGAAGGGGTGAATTGCGGAGACGGAATTGACTAAAACCCTGTCTTAAATTTATTCGTGACAATGGAGTGCGGCAGTGGGAAAGGGATCTTCGACAACCGCTCTCTGGGGATCGACGATTCTCTTTATACATGCTGTTGCTGCTTGGCAATCTTATTACATTGAGCAGTACATGAACATTTACTAGCGGAACAGTAGAGATTTGTTTTCTTGAAAAAGGCACATTTGATTCACCTGAACTCGAATTAGAATCTAAAACTTCTTATTTGCCTATGGATTCTCCTGGGGCGCTTGCTTTGTCTCCACAAAAAAATTTCCCTGTAGTAGGTTCCTGGTTTCATGAGGTATGAGGTATACATGGACTAGGAAAACCTTAACGTGCTAAAAACACGGGTTATTTCTATTCTTGAATTTAAAAGTGAAAGTACAGAATACCGGGTGTTACTAAACAGAGTAACGTAGTAACGAGTAGCGAGTAACGGAGTAAGGAGAAAAACAAGTAACGGGATAAAAATTCAAGAGGTTAAAAAAATTATACAAAAAATATTAATTATAAAAAATATCATTAAAATAATTATTGTGGGCGACAAAAGGAGTCCGCAGCCTATTTTTGGTTAGCGGCACTTTATTACCTATATAGCGAGATTTTTCCCGAATCTGTCCACATCCTTCGGATGCTACCCTGCGTGCAGACGATAACTGAACTCTGATTAGTAGTTAAAGGGAACCTCCACTCTTACTACAGAATAAGTTTAAATCGAATAAAATTATGTTGATAAACAAATTTGTTCGAAATTTGTCTTAAAAAAAGTGTTTATATCAGGAAAAGTGAATTTTAAAATCGCTTATTTTCACTTTCAAATTTCGCGGGCGCCGCCATCTTGAATAATTGTGACGTGTTACGGTTGCTCTATTGTTCTGACACAAAGAGCTTTTGTTTAATAACAATAGGGCAACCATTACACGTCACAATTATTCAAGATGGCGACGCCCGCAAAATTTGAAAACAAAAATAGGCGAATCTAAAAGTTATTTCTTTCGGATACAAACGCTTTCTTTAAAAATATTTTAGATTGACTTGACTGTAACAGTTATTTCCTGTGATTTAAAGTTATCTTTTTGTTGAAGTGGAGGTTCCCTTTAAGAAGACAAAAATAAAGATCATGAGATTCCTTCGCATTTTATTCATGAGATAAAGACAAAAAGTTATGACGTCATCGGCGTTAATTCATACAACACAAAAAGTTAATTAAATCCACAAAAACAGTTAATTCGGTGCGCCCTATGCTACTAAAATGTAATAGTAACGCAAAATGTAATAACTTTTGACGCAAAATGTAACACCAGAAAGTAACCCAAAATGAAATAGTATTTTCAGAGGCCTTTACAGTATGTTGAGCGGGGAGGAACACAACGCCTTCGATGTTGCTACTATTTGATTCAGTGTCAAGCTGTAGATTTTTTATTTCTTCTGAGACAAATTACATAAAGTCGCCCTCATAGCTCTCTTTACACCACGTATCAAGGGTATAAACCCTTCTCCACCGCTGGACAGGGAACCGGGAACTCTGGGAAAGAGATTGGGTCTCGTGATTATGCAAGTGCGCGTGCCTGAGCGAGGAGAACTGTTACTACATATACCACAATACAACATGTACATACTGTTTCACAGTTTTTATTAGTCCTAATCGAGCCAATTCTGCCCTGTTTATCCATTATATTTTATACCCTGGAAGGTAATCTTGCTAAAAATTGCTTGCCATATACTCAATAAATTAATGACCTCCTTTGGAGTAGCCACTTACGATATAATACGCACCCATTCTAACAACTGCGATCGTAATCAGCGTCATAGTCTCTACTATGCTATATTAAACTTTTTTCTCTGAATCTGTGATAATCTCTGTCACCTTTTTAAGACGGCGTGCTTTCAAGTCATATCTCGACTGCAATATCGTGTCTTTCCATTTTTTATACCCTGGCAGGTAATCTCGTTAAAAATTGCTTGGAGATCTGACGATCTGAACATAAATAAAGACCATTTGAGATAAAAGGTACCCCCTTAAACGTACACCGTAATTTTTAGGGAGTTATTATAACTCCAAAAATGGAGTAAAAATTTTAGGTACAGGATAACCCCTTTTTTGGGGTTATTTTAACTCCTAATTTAACTCCGAATTTGGGGTCATTTTTAAACCTGAAAAAGAGTTCTTTTTACTCCCAGTCTGGAGTTAAAATTACTCCGAAATGGGGTTACTTGTACTCCTTACAGGGGTTGTTTTTACTCTTTTTGGAGTTAATTTAACTCTGAAAGTGGAGTAAAAATTTTAGGTACAGGATAACTCCTTTTTTGGGGTTATTTTAACTCCAATATCTGGGGTCACTTTTACTCCTGAAAAAGAGTTCTTTAAACTCCTTTTTGGAGTTAAAATAACTCCACGAAAAATAACTCCACTGTAAGGAGTGAAATTAGCGCCACTAGAGGAGTTATTATAACTCCCTGAAAATTACAGTGTATTAACTTTATCTCCACAGTATCTCTAATTTAGATTATACATGACGTATGCAATGTTGTGGTTTAATTCTCTTGAGTTTGATTTTCATTTTCTTTGTTTCACGTTTATCGTGAGAAATTGTGCTCACCAAGTTGATACAACGAAAAAAAAAAAACATAGAAAGAAAGATGAAAACCAAGCCCAACATAAGTCTAAACTGCAGCACAGGAAATAAATGTTTTATCCGGAAACTATTCACTTTGTAACTACTGGTAAAATGACCAATCGACAAGAAAAGTTTTAGATGTCTCCTTTAAAATACAGATAGTTTCAAACATCCGAAAAAAGCTGACAGGAGGTTTCAAATAGATTGTCGTTCCATAAACTGATTTTTGATTTTGAAGACAGACTCAAAAGTTAGAACTAGAACTTCATTTAAAAGTCTTCAAAGTCTACCCTGGTAGCGCCGACAGGGTTCAGTTTTGCACTGAATGTGCTGAACGCTGATTGCTCCAATGCGAGAGATTCCAGGTAAGGAAAATTCGAGCGAGCGCAGGAGCGGCAAAAGAATCCTTCACCCTAGAAAACAAGGTAGAATATCAGTGACTAAGATGAAGGTCAGCAGCATGAAACTGCAGACTCAACGAAATAAACTAGCTATAACTGGAAGTAATTTCCTGATAAAAAAGAGCACGAGTAAACGAACGAAGTCCAAAAAAGGATGGGGTGGCCATATTCGCTAAAAATTCTCCTACTTCTAGCAATTAAAAAGTACACTCTTAAATTGGTAATCAGAAAAACTAACTCTTGTCTCATTAGTGCCTCTTGTAATAACACGTAAAACTAATGATCAGCAATTCACGTGTCTGTGTAAGACCTGGTTCAGACGTCGAACTTTTCATGAGCCAAACCAATTCGATTTGGAACGGCTCAGCCGTTCTTTTCGCCTAGCCCGGCCGGGAATTTCGCCTATGGAACGACTTTGATTCAGACGCCGAACTTTTCATGTACCGAACCTAATGCTTAAGTTAAAATAGCGTATTTTGTAAACAGTTTGACTGAAATAAGCATTTTTCGCCTTTTGAACTTTGTTCAGCGGCAGTTAAGATCGGCGTCTGAATCAATTCAGCCGGTCTAAATAATTTCGTTCGGCCTTAATTCGAATTCAGTTCGGCTCATGAAAAGATCGGCGTCTCAACCGGGCCTAAGTGGCTTGCATTGTAGGTCTTGCATTGGACCCCGTCCAATGGCAATACATAACATCCGTTTGTCATTCAGTGACTGATCTGCGCAGCTGTGCGCGAGACCCTTATCTCTGTATCACTTTTAGTTCGCCTTCGCCTTCGACCTGTATACACGTCGTAGGAGGTATGTGCAATCCAGCCTTTGGTTCTCACAGGTGTATGAACTTGGTTGACACTGATTTATATCGTTACCGATTGAAAAGGTAAAACGGTGCATGAAACTGTGTGCGTTTTCTTTGTGGTGTCCCTTAAGTTCTCCCAACAACTGCTACGTTGATTTCTTTGTTTTCTTTGCTTTACGTTAGCCGTGAGTTCTAAAGATTCTTAGACCGAGCCGGATTAGCCAATATAGCACGTCCAGCGATCACTAGACAGTCTGACTCAAAGAGAAAATGGAGCGTGAATTTTTTGGCATCAAGAATAGTAATTTTTCGCCGCAACAGGTCACACTTCACCTTCATGATATGTAGTACCACGACTATGATCACAATTATCCCTTTTTGCAAAGTTTCTTTTGACTAGAAACAATGAAAATAGATATAATTGCTAGCAACGACTTGAGGATTATAGACTCTCCTTATTTACACTGAATCGTAAAGTAATTTCTATCTGGCCTTCAGAATCAGAATTATCACTTTTATTACTCAGTCCAGGGAGATTACCGACAAGATATGACTGCATAGTCTTTCAGTTTCTATAGCAACTGTAAAACAAAAATGAATAAAAACAAAATGTTCAAAGCACTTACCGAAACGATGAGTTCTTCTACAACTTGGCTCTTACACTTGACACAGGGCTGTAAATAAAGAAAGCTGGAATTACAAAAAGAACTTGCTCCTGCAATACAGGACTGGTAAAGAGAGTATAACACATGTGTGGGTGTGTGTTATTTGTGGTTACTTCACTTCGGCTATGCCAAACAAAGACCTCCACAGGCATTCATTTTTACTTGAAAAAGGATAGTTTTTCTCCAGACTGCCCTTCTGTGCACACGTATTCGAACAAAACGATCCCTTAAAACACTCTCCAGAGTCAGGAAGTAACTGAAAACGCCCTTCTCTCGAACGCGTACATGTGGATGGACAAAAACGGAAATTTGCAACGACAAAGAATAAGTTTCTTATTTCGAGCGGGATAACAACATTTCACAGCCACTTGGCCATAGTTTCAGGTATAATAGCTCTTTGATGCTTAAGGCTAGAATTGAACGATTCGAAGACGCTACGCAAAGGTAAGAAATTCTGAACACGGACTTGAGTTGACCTTCTTTTTTGAAAATACGTGGTGCATTTGGAGAGGAAACAAGCAACCAAAAAGTAACAACTTAGCATAGTAATTAAACTCAGTACCTTTTGTAAGTGTATGAGGTTCACAATTTTCTGGCTGAGTCTAAGGGACTTCTTGGCCCGGCTAACCGCTACATACAAAAGGTTCTTTTCATCATCCTCCAGTTCGCCTAAAAACGTTAATCAAATAACTAGCATTACAGATTTAAGGATAAACTTTAAGTCCGACCGCGGCTAGACTAGCTCGGTCGGTAGAGCGCTTGACTTATTGAGGAAGAGGCCGCGGGTTCGATTCCTTCGCTCAGATGGACATCCCTAGAAGACCTAGAATAGGAATAACTTACAGATGTTGGACTGAAAAAAAAAAACAATTACAACGACGACAACAGGAAATAAAAACAACTCCCGTTAAGGCCACTTTTAAGGTCCCAACAGCTCCATTTTATCGTTGTTCTACCGAGCGACATCTTTCAGCATTCAGACATGACTAAAAATATTTTATCTGTTTTTTTTTCATATGCATCGTTTTGCTGGGATTAACGGATTCTTCCGTTGCGCATAAATCAAAACTGTTGTAAATGTAAATGCATGATAGCCCACTAATGCAAATTCTTTTTGCACCTCGCTATTGCGGACCATTGCTATCCAGGCTACCTAACTCGCCGTCAAGATGAGTGTCCGCCATATGGGGGTTGACTGAACATGGTGGTTCAACGAATTGGTTTGTGGATGAAATAGTTGGATTGACCACCCCAATTAAGATCACTAAAATGTTCTTCGATGCACTTTATAGACCTTTTTAGCTTGTATGTTTTGTTTTCCTATTTCAGACCAAGTGATGTTCCTCCAAAGAACTCCTTCTTCCAAATGTCGTCTTATCCTACTGTATATATGTTTCCTATCCCTAATTATTCATGAATAAGGGCTAGGAGACAACGTAAATTACGAATCAATTTAGGTTGAAAAATTCTGATCTGAATTTAATTTTGACCGGTGACATATGCATGCACACTTTATTGAAAAACATTACGTAGTCTGAAGCGGGGGAAAAAACATACAAGCCGAAAAGGTCTATCATCCTTTACGAGGTGGTTCTTGTACAAGCGGATGGAAAACACACACAAGCTGAACAGGTGGTCAACTCACTGAGGTAAAGCCCCGAGTCCAATCCAGAAAGGAAGTCCTCTGCCACACGCACATGATCAAATTCCAGGCCTTTTGCTTTGTGAGCTGTAGCAAAAATTACATCTGGGAAAAAAAAAAACAAAATACATCTCTGTCTTTTCGATTGACGGTCAACGGAAATAAACTTGCGTATAATATGAATTGTTTTCACATGACGTCATGGCCGCCACATCTATCAAGGGAGGCCTAAGGATTTGCGGTGATGCGCTATTGGGGAAATTTTTAAGGAAATCTCTGGTGCCGTGGTTTTCCAAGACCAAGCGGTGTGCGGTGTTTAGAATTTTGGTAAATTCCAGATCCCTAATCAAAAGATAAATGGAGAATGCTTTTATTTGGATACTTTAACTTGGAAGTAAAGTGAAACATGTTGAAAGAGAATGTATCAAAACCCTAAATTATCTCGCTAGGGTTGGAGAGCTTAATGCCTTACTTTGACCAAATCTTAGTCAGCTTGTTCCCTGGAAAAAATTCAGTCCGGTTATCAATATTCCATAGCGGCCACTTCTGCACGGGCATGTGAATAACGCGTGGACATACACCAATTTACAAAAATTGTTCCAAGGATCGCGCAGAAACTTCTTATTTCCTCAGCTATATCGTGTTCCTACACGTTTCCAGTTTACCAGTTTTACTTAAAAGTTTAAGTACATATATTAACCTGCACTGTCATTTTTCCTGACAGCTTTGGATTTCAACAATTGAACGATTTCGTCCAAGTTTTCCTCATGCATCTCTACAATCTACAAAAAGCACCAAAACGGAAAGCAAAAGCAATCATTAACAAAGATTCGTTCGCTGCAGTTTTACACTTCTACCTGCAGTAAAAAGCAGCCACCGTTTTCAAATCGAACAACATACTATTACGCGTGTGACAACCTTTTGAATTCGAACACCTCCCCTTAGCAGCCACTCCAACTGTCTGTTTAAAGTACAAGCTTCGACATGTGACACAACACAATGTCTTATTTTAGCCACACTTACTGCAAAAGTCCATGTGGACTCGATAAAAAAACTTGTCTTCCTGAAGAAAGTCGGAATTTGTTCTTTTTAAACCCCTGACATGTAAGGAGTGTCTAGAGTAACTCAGTCAAAAGCCGATAGTTTGCTGAAATGTTCGTTTAATTTTCGTGATCCATTAGCCTGTGAAAGCAGACTCCTTTTTCAGCTCTTATTTCACCCGGCGGCTGAAACATGAGCCGAAAAAAGCGTCTGCTTCCGTCCGCAGGCTTGTGTTCCATCAACAAGTTTTTTTTAAGAAGTTCGCTAATTGTCGATTGGCTTTAACAATCGAACGTTTACCGAAATTACTAATCTCGTACCCAGATCTCTTTTTGACGAAGCAGGCTTTGTTAATAAGAGATCTGGGTACGAGATTACGACATCACAAGATAAAACGTTCGGAATTTTATCAGACCTAACCTGTTCTTGGACAGTCCGAGGTCATGCCCCAAGCTAGATCGTGCCATAATACAACATTCAACTGTTACCAAACTACTGTTCAGCGACTGTTTGACATCTCTTACAGTGCGACTATCCGAACCGGGGCACTTGAAAGAAGATTATCCAATCACAACGTTTTTTGAAAACAAAAGATTCTCAGGTTTTTTTTTTTGCAAACGGACCAATAAAATTTAAGGTCAACTATGCAACCGTTGAAACAACTAACCTGACCTCTCAGGCAACAGCCCTCAAATTTATAGATTGAAGATAATAATGGTTCATTTGCAAAAAAACTTGAGGATCTTTTCTGTTTAAAAAACGTTGTGACAGGATAATCTTCTTCCAAAGAAGTGCCCGGTTCGAGTAGTCGCTTTGTAAATCGTTAGGACGGTTGTTTTTTTACATTGATTCATTTAATACAGGTTCATCATTATGCTTACTCCTGGGGGGTAAAATTCTGGCGTCAAGAGGTGGAATTCGTACAAAATCGAATTCAAACGAAATTAAACGACAGATCACGCTCGATTGAATTCGACTGGTTTTTAGTTCGATTCTGTTCGATTAGACACCCCGGTATAGGTGGAGCAAAGTAATAGGCTCCTGAGAAGGCTAAGTAAAAAATTACCTTTATCTTTGAAAGAAGCTCAGGATCAGGAGCATCTCTGGCGTATTTTTCAAGTGCCGGAAAAGTGCCAAAATGCTTTATTAATTTATCCTTGATATCCAAAGCTGTGAAATGTAAACGAAAGTACAGTCATAAAACAACTTACAGCTCGTATATATACAGCATGCTCGTCGAATTGAACATGGCCACAGTTCACTTCTATTTTGTTCACCTCACATCAGGCTCTGTTTTCGTTTCAAAACATCTAGTGGACATTTGATGAAACATTTGTTTGTTTGCTCTTCTTTTAATCTATAGATTACAGTCATCTAAGGGTGCGTCTCTTTACTAAAATCCAAGATCAGATAAAAAATTCGGATCATTAGGATTTTTCGTTGAGAAAAGAAACGATGTATCCCAAAATGTATTATTTGTTATTCATTTCCATAGAAAAGACCCACAATATCGACGAGAGACGCAAAGTTGTGTTGAAGGTTTGTCCTTTTGAACTAGAACAATGTGGGTCCTGTTTCTATTTTACCACTTCCATAAAACAGATAAACTCGATCGTTTCATCCACGTCTCGGCTTGGCTGTACAGATGAACAGTGCAGTCAAACAGCTAGCTTGCAGTGCAGGCGTATTTTGGGTGGGCGAAACCTTGCTCGTGTTCGTAATATTGTTGTAGCCGCCATCTTTGATTTTATGACAGTGGAAGATTCGGGAGAGTAGAAATAGTAACCCTTACTTGCCCCATCTCCTCCTCTCTTCGGGAAGTTTCAACATGGCGCTTTCGCGAGCAAATTGAGCTTAAAGAAAACGCCTGCACCGCAGGCTATCAAACTGCTGATGTATGTATTAAAATTGTGTCGAGTTTCCGCTGGCAGTATTCACTCATTTCGGGTCCATAGTGAAGAAACGCTTCGGATCAAGTACCCAAAGTATCGGCTGTTTTGGTTGTGATCCAAAGAATCCACCTCCGTTGTGTTGTGGATCATTTCGATCAATAATCCGCTTTTTTAATTTTAGTAATGAAACAAAATATGCGTTTTCGGATTAAAAGTCCGGATTTGTTGTTAAGTAAAGATGGATGATATGTCGATCATCATTACTCGGTTGATGTGTCGACCGCTATGTCAACGAAAAGTCATTTTGAGACTAGTCAAGAAAATTGGAAACGTGACTCACTTTGTATGACTTAGCATGGCCATTACTCAAATAAAAATGCATTTTTTCTGGCGGTGAACATTCTTATCCCACACACTTTTATTTTTTTCATTTGATGTTACAAAGAAATTTTGGTAAAGTCTACACTTAAAGCGCTTCCAAAGGTAAAACGAAAGGTGGCAATAGCTATGCCACTATAAGTGGAAATTTACGGCTTGAAACTAAGTTCACTTACTTTTAACTTTAGCCGTATCACTTCCAGCGCGACGCAACTTCCATATGTCGTGGATTCTGTCTAAATCAAGACTTTTTATTCCCTAAAAAAATATTTTAGACAATGAATAACAACAGGCACCGAGGCAAAAATTGACAAACCTTTGCTTTGAATTTCTCGACGAAACACTTTATGTCTGAGAGGCTATCAAAGAGCAAAAAAAAGGGTTTCCTCTGTTTTCCAGCCACCTAGAAGTCGGTTAATTAGACCTCGGCTGTCCCTCGTATTATCAGCCCACTTTTCGGTGTTGGATATCCTGATGAAACATTCTTTTCTATGTTTGACAATTTGCTGTTAAACAATTGCGTTTTTCGCTACTGTCAATCATTATTACGATCACAAGCGAACAAAACGGATCGAAATCCACCAATCACAAACTATGAACTTTTGAATCCCCTCGCAGTAAACTTCTGTTTTCTAAAGGCTGGTTTTCACTAGCGACGGAGTCGGAGTCGGAGTCGTAAGAGCGCGTATGACCTAGTGAAAATCAAAAATCGGAGTCGTAAGCGGAGTCATAACCGCGACGGAATCGGAGTCGGAAGAATCAGAACGTTTCCACTTTCTTCCGACTCCGCTTACGACTCCGTCACTTACGTTCCGCTTATGATCTAGTGAAAACCAGATTGTCGGAGTCGGAAGCAGAAGCGGAAGGATAAGCCAATCAGAATGCACGTTCCCACGCTTTGTGATTGGTTTGGTTCTTCTGCTTCTGCTTCCGACTCCGACAATCTGGTTTTCACTTGATCATAAGTGGAACGTAAGCGACGGAGTCGTAAACGAAATCGGAACGCTGTTTTCACTAGGTCATAAGCTCTACGCTTGTGATTACGACTCCGACTCCGTCGCTAGTGAAAACCAGCCTTAAGAAGTCCGCTAGGATGACTGACCGGCAGCAAAGAATGCAAACGTTAGTAGGCTTTTGAACTTCAGAGTTCGCACGTTTCTGAAAAGCACAGTAAAGCAGTTGTTGTTACCCTTACCCCAATGAAGCCAACTTTGACGTCCTCTTTTGCATCGCAAACACTGGCAGCTTCATTAAACAATGTGTAATTTGTTCGTGTAATTACGTTCAACTGCTTACTACACTTCTCATCAAGAACAGAACCTAAAAATAAACAACAAGACAGATCTTGAACAGAAAATCTACACAGTTGAACCCCTGGGTGGAACAAACGTTTATTATAAAGAAAATTTAAAAATTCAAACCCAGTGGCTTACGTGGGTTACATTATTTGAGAGAGACCTGTATGGGGTAATGGTAAAATGTGTATGCTGTCTACGAGTGGGTTTTGAGTTAGCAGGATACAAGAAATTGAATGAAAAGCTTTTTTAAAAAAGATATCATTTTTAGATGTATAAAAGGTAAAAAGTTAAACATTACTTGACGTCAAATACATAGGGAGTGGTTACCTAGTCTCCAGAGCCGGAGGCTCACGTTTAAAGTTATCAAACCTCACAGTAATTTTCAAGGAGTTATAATAACTCCTCTAATGGGGTTAATTTAACTCCTTACAGTGGAGTTATTTGGGAGAGTTATTTTAACTCCAAAAAAGAGTTTATAGAACCCTTTTTCAGGAGTAAAAATCACCCCAGTTATCCTGTACCTAAAATTTTTACTCCACTTTCAGAATTTAAGTAACTCCAAAAAGAGTAAAAACAACCCATGTAAGGAGTAAAAACAAGAAGCCGCTAACAGCGGCATTCAGTCTCGCTTCCTTGAAGATTAGATTGAGAAATGAGGAGGCGAGTAATTCTACACGAAACGAAACGGATTTACTTGCTTAATGTTTTTTACTTCCTACTTTATCGACGTTGATACTTTTTACTTGTTTCTGAATTGACTTAGTACGCGTGTTAGCGACGACCGGTCGCAGGCTATAAGGGTGTATAAATATACGAAAATTCAAGGGCCTCGATTCCAGAGAAAGAAAACTGTCCAGGTGTGTGTAAAATGGGGAATAGGATTTTAAAAAGACGCCAACACCAAATTGTGGAATTACACCCATTTTAGGCAGCCTACTGATGTACAATTCCGACATGTTTTCAGCTAGAATAATTTGGCGTTGGTCCCCTTCAATTAGAAAAAGGGAGCATTCTATTTCTTTACTACGAGTAAACACAACCAATTGGCTGATCTTCAATTTGAGCATGAATACAACAACAATGTCATCCTTCCAAATTTCTTTTTCATTAAAGACAAGCGAAGAGTGAAGAAAATTAAAAGAAACAAAATGGCATTCACCTTCACCAGCTACCCCCTCAAGAGTCTTTTCCTGAACATCCTTTAGTGCTTTTAACACACTGGAGGCCACATGAGCTATTTCAGGACCGAACCTAAAAGACTTAAAACCAACAACCACAACATAAATGTTACTAATAAACTTGTATAAAACAATGCGAGTACAAAAGGGAAAAAAAGGGAAAGCTCTTACATAACTGCAGGAGCTTAAAGCTGTAGAACTTTTTAGTTGCATAAAGAGACTGAAAGTCAAACGATAATTTCTCCTTTCTAAATGGGATGCTAGTCCATCTAGTAGTAATAAGTAACTTGTACCAAATTTATTAATATATGGCTGAACCGCGGGTGGGTAAAATGAAGCGAATCCTGCGTTCTGACTGGCTACCTGAGCGGGAAAGATGGGCCCATTTTGCCCTCTCAGGATTTTCTGCGCTGGTCCCGCAGTGGCCTCGTTGTTTTATTTTAAATTGACGTCAACTTTCATGAATTGGTCAATACAAACGCAGACATCCAGACATCTTCACGCTTGCTGAACTAGAGGTAATCATTGATCAAGGATCCGCATTCGTCACTCGAGTCGAAAGGAGTCATGTTTCCCGGCCGAGATTCCCCTAATAAAATCAGTAGCGGCGGCTAATCGGCAGTACAAAATTTGTGGCTTTGTACCACAGGAACACCAAGAATAGGACACGTTCTGACGAACGCGAATAACGCGTATATATACACCTGGGTATAGAGAGACAATAGGGCCATTAACAAAGGGAAAAATAAGACGCAAACTGTCCTTAACACAGCCCTTAACACCTGTTCTTAGATATGAAGCTTCTTATTTCAGACAAAATGTGCCGTTTTTTTAACATCTGTGTACAGGCTTATGATGTATAAGAGGCCTTAATGAGAGGACGTTTCTTATCTGAGAAAGCACCACCACGGAAGAGAACAGTTAATGTCTGCTATTATAAGACACAAATTCCAACTCATTTGAATTTATGCGAGCTGCTGCAGGGGAAAAAATCGGAAAAACGTCTAGGACAAAAAGACAAAAGACGTGATCTGTCACCTTGTGCATAAGGAGCAGTTTTATCGCAGACACCTGTTGCAGCGACATTCTAGCCTAGTGTGTCCTGTCTTTTAAACTCGGACACTATTTAAACTATCAAAGGAATAAACCACTGACCTGAGTAAGATAGAAAGTGTTTGAACTCTCCACCTCCTGGAGAGCATTTCTTGCGCCGCGAAACGAATAAATCTGTTGGTGGGGATCACCAACCAAAATCTTTTTACACTTCTGGCTTAGAAGAAAGGCTGAGGCAGCTACAGATGAAAAAGCTCAGTTAATTAAATAAAAGAAGTTGAAAAAAAAAATGGTATATCAAGGTTCTCAGAAACGTTCCTGCCAACAGGAGTTTTCCGTGTCCGTTAAATGCAGCAACCAGGTGGCACATGGCCAACATTTACGAAAAGCATGCGCACTTTCTTTTTGCACAATATTGAAAAATAAATTGTGAAATTACAGGGTGAGCGAAGGTTAATTGACCTAGATAGTAAGTTTAAGTGCCACACTAACTGAGACTATAGTTTTTAATCCAAGGCGTTCTTGTATTGACGATTTTTCTTTACTGTACACAGCTTACAAACACCATAAATTATTGTTAATAAGCATTCGCCTTATACTTTATAAGGGCTTTTAGACGAATTAATTGAAATAATAAAAAAATGTTTCGAAAACATCTACAGCACTGTTGATAGAAAGACGTTTTTCATATCCCTCGTTTTCATTTATTAATTGAATTCAATCCAATATTCGGAACAAAATCGAAACTAACGACATGAAAGGAACTATCTTCATAATATGCTCTTTATAGTGGCAAATACTCTACTGAAAAAAGAGCCCCTTGCCAAGAAGTATCCTGCGTCATTATTATGAAAGTTGCCTGTGAGGCGCCTTCAAGCTGTAACAAGGCATCAAGGGCTTCAACCTAGCCTCAAAACAAAAGAGTTGTGATATATTATGGTGGTCTAATAAAATCGGAGGTTTTAAAGGGGTGCTAGCCAGGCATAAAGTGGTAGTAACAGGCTTTCCACAAAAAGTTTTCTTAATGTTCTGAATATCAATCAAACACGGAAAACTTGTCCGGGGCTTATAATTGGATGTATTTTTCTGTTGACAGGTGGATCAGGGCTGAAAACCAAGGGGAACTTATAAGTAGTACTTTAAGGTATGTACATATTTGCACAAAATGTTTCTCGCTTGAAAATTAAAACAGACGAAGAATATGTAAAATTGGCCTTCAATTCTTACCAGGAGTACAGTCCTGAGCCTCGTCAATCAATAAATAATCAAATCCCGTCAAAATGGGACTTTGCAGTTGATAAATTTTGAAGTACCCTGCAATTAAGAATTGAAATCACATCTATTTCAGGGAGCTACGCGAATGAGGGGATACATATAAAGAGACACCACTTCAGTAATAAACCAGGCCTAATTTAATTTCTGAAGAAAAAATAAACGTCGCGCTATTACCGTGTCCAATTCAAATGAAACTGATCTGCAAGTTGCGCGGCAATAGCACGGAAATGGTTTCAAACGTCGAATTTAAGTCACTCGCGAAAATTCAAAATAAAGAAAACGTCACTGTCAGGCGCAGAAGAGTCAAAGCACTTCCGCTTAAACATATACATTTTCATAATTTATGAATTGAGTTTGGCACGGTAATATCATGACGTTTGGACCGAGCTTTGCCATGTCGAATTTAATTGCCGTGTCGAACTAGATTCAAGTTGCTGAACTGAATGATTTCAAACGTCGCGCCCCTGCCGCGCCAAATTCATTGAGTTTGGCGCGGCAGTAGCACAACGTTTGAAACAGGCCTAAGAGTATTTCGTGGTATATTCAGCATAATCTGCATGTCCTGCATGCCATTACATTGTAGTTGGAAGTGTTGATAAGGCACCTATGTCCCCAAAGAGGATCCTGAATATTGACTTATCTTATTTGCCCAAGTGTACAGAAGCCTTGACATGAACATTTAGCAAAGTGAAAACCAATTTGCGTTTATTTTAAGTATTGGAAACGGAAACGCACCATAGGTCTTGGACTTCTGTTTTCCAAAGCCGGTCGTTTCAACAGCACTTAAAGTCATAAAATTTATGAAAATTCAAACGGTGGCAACTGGAAGTCAGTATTACTCCATGTAATGAAATTGTTCTTTTAGTAGACCATCTGTGCAGGAATCCATCGTTCAAGATGACTGCTGCCCATGGGCTTAAAGCTGTCAACATTTGCCAGTGGCCTATCATTGATGCTGATGTTTGGCTCCACTGGTGTAGTGTTTGGAGCAGGCCACCGCGCATTGTAAACATTCAAAGCCACAACCCTATCCCTGATAAGAGCTTGGTTTTAAAAAGTACCCTGAGAATTATCTTAATCCTGAAAAACCCTAAAAATCGCCTTTTGCCGATTTTTCAACATGATTTTACGTTAAATTGCCAAATTGGGTTGTTTGATGCTGAAAAGTGGATTTTTTTCTCTAAAAGCTTGGTACTTCGCTTCAACAAACGATTATGACAATGCATCCCATGTCATTTTAATACGTTGTTTAACAGGCATACTCTCGTGTAGCCATATAAAATAATCTCATTTGGCATGCTTTTAAAATTAGCGAGTTGTCTGATTAATATCATTATGTGCAATGACTCTGTCTACCGTTCAGATGAGATCATATTGTATTGGCAATAATAAAACTTACCATCATGAGTCATCGGAAATTTTTTATCATTACTGCTCATTAATTCCCACATTTTTTCAGCATCTGACACAACATCCTGCAGTGATAATTTATCCATATTTAGAACATTAATGATAAATCAAAAAATTAATTTAACTCATCATAAGACAGAGTTGTCAAGAAAATCTACAGTAGGAAAAATTAAAGGGAAGCAACAGATTAGAGCAAAACGAAAACGTATCAAGTGCTCTTCAAGTGGTACAGCCCCATGTGGGGCAACCATAATAACTAAAATACATAAAATACATAGAGTATATAAAGAACCAGCTGTATATTTAACACTTTAATGTTATCAACTTACCGACTTGTATTCATGACTGTAGGAGTGAGAGCGGTCTTTTCCATACTTCTTTTCAGGTACATGCTCTACTTTAACGACATCATCTGCAGATGATATAAAGTTTTCCAGAGTCTCCTGAACTGTTCGTGCATGTGGATACCCGACGTCTGGGAGGGTTTTCATGATCGTTCTGATCTTCAGTTGTTTCAACTTGTGTCTGTATCTGTGAGAGAAAAAATTGAAATAAAAACAAATACAGATACAGTTGAACCTCTCCACAATAGCCACCTTGGAGACAGAAGAAGGTGGCCATTGTGGGGAGGTAGGGGTGTTATATTATGGTGCCTGTTTTACTGCATCTTTTTTTTTTGCGGGGAATACAACACATTTATTGTGCCAAGTTCTTGCTCCCTGTAGCGTATAATGGTAATCCAATCATAAATTAATTAATTAATACAAAACTATACACAATAAAACATATTACACGTAATCATGTTTTGACTGAATCAAAATGCCAGCAAGACAAAATGGCAAGGTTTGCAACATTTGCTATAACTACAGAGTAAAAGGAAAGTCCATTTGCTACTGTTTCTGAATTGTTCCTATTAAAAATGTGCTTGTCCCATTCACAAGTCATGTCAAAGGTTTGAATGTCTGAACTAAATTTCTACTTGTCCCAGACAATCAGACAGGTTAATTGGCACACCCTGAACTATTGTACGTACCCTTGCTGCAGCATTATAATGGCACACAATCAAAATAAGCATATCATTAAAATGGATATAGAAGTGCAATGTTCAGTGGACAAAATAAATGTTGATAACTGCAGCATCCGTTTTACAATGTTTGTGGAAAGAATTGCTTCCACTTTCTCACACGCATTTCTATGCACCAGATTAAAAGCACCCAAATTAGCGACTAGCGGTACCCAGTTTTAGTCTAACTTACATTAAATGAGCAATAAAAAAATTTTGTTAACTTACTCCTCAGGCTGAGGTGTATTCTAAGTACGATGTTTTAATGAAAGGTTCATGTTAGGACTGTATACATATTGTGTATATACTTTTAATCTTAAATGAATTGAAAGACTTGCTGCAATAAGTCACTGACACGCCATACAGATCAAATTTTGTGACCATTTGTGACTTTTAGTAACAACTGGCTATTGTCATGAGGTTATTTTCGCAGTTGGGAATGCTCCTTGGTGGTCCGGTTTCTGTTGTGGAGAGGTTCAAACCAGAGTCGACATGTGAACTGTCCACCGGGGGTGGGGGGAATGGCTGTCATAAAGAAGTGGCCATTAATGAAGCTTCAACTGTATCAATATACAGTCAAAAATTTAGGCAGACGGTATAAATGCAATCCACCAATGGCGCTCTTTTCACGTTTTAATTACAAAGTGGAACTGAAGTTGCAAAAAGACCACACTTCAAGAGAATTTGAGGCCAAATTTACAGATAAAATAATGCAACACTTGAAAGATGAGGGGCCCCGGACAATCTACAAGCCAGCGAGCCATGCAATTCATAAACCATGCCAGGATAAAAACTAGACTTGCCGAAAGAGCCACTACACTAGGCTGCCATGGTGATCGAGGTAGATTTGAACCAAAATATTGTATTGTATGAAAACGAGAAGTTTACTAAAACAAACAGCCAACTGCCAAATGATCCCGATCCATGGGCCTCGTTGATTGCACTGAGGCTTCAAATAGATGATCCCAATTTGTGGTCTACAGCCTACATACATTTTTTTCTCTTGTTATTTTCCTTCAACGTAAAGAATTATTACTTTGCATTTTGCTACTTAAAAAAGTTTCAAGTTTTCTTGTTTGCATGTTGATTTCATCGGCACGCGCACCTTAAACCATGTAAATAGATGAAATGACCGATAACACATTTTTTACTGTAATACTATGTATGAGTTGAAAATTCACTCAAGTTCGCTGTTTGTCTCACCCATGACTACATCAGGGCTGTTATTAACAGCCTTTCCCGCTTAGTTCCTGATGGGCATGTGAGGTTTTTCTGCTGGAATATTTGCATCATTCAGTGTTCTCCAGTGTTCTCTTCTGTTTTCTTCTTAGCTCAGCAGGTAAGGGACCATTCATGGCCGGTAAGGGCAAAAATATGCCCCAGTGGTGCACTTTCCTGGCGGGGGGAGGGGGGGGTTGGGTTTGGTTAGTGGAGTGAGAGACATGGCCTCACCCTAGGGGGAGTTAAGTTCTTTGAAACGTCATTCCCTCATTTCGGAGCCGTCTTTTATGCAAATCGGCCGTTGATATCTTTGATCCCAATAATTTTACTCAGCATTCACTGTTCTCTTTCAAAAATGCATGGCCCATAAAAAGAAAAGTTGTGTATACTTTAACACTTTTCCATACATTCATTCATTTCCTTTATTGGATCGGATCACAACTTGCGTATTTTTTAAAACAACTTATTTAATTTTAGTAAACCTGTCCTTCAAGTGGTTGCAGGCGGTAAGAAGTGTTGCTTCAGGCGGTAAATTTTACCGGTTACCGCCTTATAACTCTGATAACTGTGCAGTCTTCGTTGACTTTCAATAATAAGGGTTAATCACTCATTTTTCTGACCAGCGGTCAAGCACTCTCAGCAGGGCGGATGGTGGCCACAGATGCTGCAAAACGTGCCTTGTGGAACACTTCAAAAGGTTTGCATTTCTTATTAACGCGAAATGACTACTGTTCATATCATTACGTAGTGCCCTGACTCTGAGGGATTAGGGTTAAGCGTTATGTCGTAAATTTAACAGACGACTGAGCTCCATGGCAAGCTATCTAAACCATCTATTTCTTTCACCACTGGGTTATATTGGGAAGATGTTCATTTCAATATCTCAACATTATAAAATCGACACTGTTATAAGATCTGAAACCGACTTTTTGGCAATATTACAACCTTCCTCAGGATACAAAACCAAAGACGGTTACAATATACTAGTTCGTTTAATAATGT